GCAGCGAAGCAGAGGCAACGCAGCGCAGCGCAGCCAGCAGCGCTGTCCGCAGAGTTAATGCACTCCAACAGAAGTTCAAGGCTGAACAAATCAGTCGTTCGTTCGCTTGGTTCGTTCGCTGGGTTCGGTTGCAGCGCCCCTGCCTGACAGCCTGCCTGTGTATGTTTTCTGCATGTGTGCGAGTGTGTGTGAGTATTCCAATAAGATCATTTTGGCTGCGGCGCAAAAATAAGAACAAAAAAAAAAATAATTCTCGCATTATTGTTGTATAAATTAGCACAGCGTATGGGTGTGTGTTTGTACATTATAAAAATGCGCAGCTGGCAATTGGTGGGGTAGTCGCATCGAACCTCTTGGACTGATGCTGCTCCCTTTGCTGCTGCTTCTTCCTTGTTCTTCCCCCTTCTTGTTCTATGTAAAATATTCAGGGTAATGTAATGGAATGTCTGTCTGGCTGGACTTCTGTCTTTCCCGCTCTCTCTCTCTTTCGCTCACCCGGTCTCTGTGTCTGTGTGCGTTCGACTGGATCTGTTCCAACGCAAAAGGCTCGTTAAGTATGGCGGATTGTGGCCTACCCCACACCCCCGTAACAGTTGAAATATTTATGCATACTTACAATTAAATTGATATGTATACATGCCAATGACTGCGCCACTCCTCCCCTACTCTCCCACTCCACACATTCTGTGTGCGTGTTTGTGCTGTAAAGAGACTCAAGTATTATGACAGAATTGCATTTGGATTAGGCTGGTCCTTAACCCCGGAGGCTCTTTGGGTTTTGTTCAAGAAAAATCGAAGAGAAGTTTTCCCAGCTGTAACAGTATTCCACTACGACATTCCACACTTAATATAATTACTCATTATATTTGTTTAGAACCACTCTAATGAACCCACTTGCTGATTAAGATTATATAGTATGTAAATCGCTTAACTAAAAATGATGTAATTTCATCTTACGATTTGTAATCTTTCGGAGTCGAGAAACAGGAGAAAAGTTTCCATAAAAATTATTTCCGTTTTCCCATAGCCCATACCCCTGCCCCCGCAGCGGCGATCGTCTCTCAACCTGCGCATGACATCACATGCATTTCCCATTACTCAGCAAAAATGAAAATTGCCAATTAAGCTGACGAGTGAAAATTCTTAGAACTGTTGTTCGGGAAGAGCTTTTTGCGTAATCGAATTTTTTCAGCAATATGCAAATATTGCATCAACAAGCTGAAAATAAATAATAGTAGTAGCTACAGAGTGCACAGCCTCCATGACCTTGAAGCTTTGAAACTACAATTTTCTCCCTAAACTAAGAGATTAACTTGATAAATAGACAGACGGACATGGCTTGGCTGCAGGGTATCAAACAGGCTGTATTTGTGTGGCTGTCTGCCTCCGTAGAATAGAAATATGATTTACGAAGCAGAGGAAAGAGAAAATCAACCATCAAATGCGATAAGAAACAGTTTTTGGTTGAAATAAGCGGTCGATTGCCTGCTCTGGTCTGGTGTGCGATAGAAGTTCAAGCATGTTGCAAGCTAAAGTTCAAGCAAACGTCAGAGCTGGTATGAACCCTTGTTCTTATTCGTATTCTTGTTGCTGTTGTTGTTGTTGCTGCTGGTAGTCGTCTGCAACTGCGCAAATTGCTTAACTGACGAAAGCAGAGGCAGCAAAAGAGACAGTGAGAGGGGAAGAGCGGGGCGACAGATATGACCAATCAACCTACTTAAGGGGGGGGGCTTGGAGGGGCCCTGTTGGCGCTCTAAATTTAGCATTTCTGAAGAATTTGTTGCTGTGGCTGTTGCTCTTGTGCCTGAGCTCGGGCGCACGCTGCCTGCCTGCGCCGTTGGCATTTTCTGCTATAAAAGGGATAATATAATACATATAAAACGTTCTGCTGCCTACTCGCTGCATCTGTGTGTGTGTGTGTGTGTGGTGTCTGTCTGTGATCCTCTCTCTCTCTCTCCGTCTCTCTCTTAAGCATTTCGTTTTCATTCTTATTCTTCGTTTATTTCGTAATAATCGCAACATCCGCTGGCATCGGGATTTTGAGGGTTTGGGGAAGAGACTTGGGGACTGCAACTGCGACTGCGACTGCGGGTCTTCGATATATTCCCTCCTCTGCCCCTCTGTCCCCATCACACTTCTTCGGCTGCGGCTGTTGTGAAAGGCCTCGTGTACGTGGGGCTCTTTGTTGGCTGCAACGATCCGTTCCCGTCTCCCTCTGCGATTCTTGGATTCTTTGTGTGCTGTTCTCGTTTCTTCTTTGTGTTTGTACTCTTCCTCTTTTTTTTATCACTTTTTGCGTTATATAATTGTAATTTACAGCGACGTTTTTATATAACCCATGGGGCGTATGCTTTATGTACCGTTGTTGTAGCACATATTACGTATACGTATATCTGGGTATCTTTTAAATTAATTGGGTTTTGTAACGGTTTTTCTTTTGGGAGTGTGGAGTGTAAAAAGTAGTCGATAAGAAAAAGAAACGATGATCTTCTCTTGTAAATGCAACACCAAATACGTTCACAATTTCCTTATACACACATGCAATACCCACAATAATAAACACAGTGAAAGCTCTTATAGGGCGACGACCCGTAGAGAGCTAACCAAGGTTCCAGAATGTTTCGTAGAGACTGCCGCATAAGAGAGTTGATACATAGTTTCCTAGTTCCACCAATGGATTATGTTATACCCATAGTAATGAATATTTTATGGATAAAACAAATACTTGTAATAGATAACGATTCCTTACCGTACCATGAATTTGGTTCTGATACTCGGTTCGGACCACACGCTTTTGGCTTTGGCCCAAGGTATAATATTTCTTCAATTTGCAACCAGGGCAGGCAAGACATTTATCTTAATTGAAGATCGCGCGAAAGTCTAAGTGCAAATAAGCGGTTAGAGTTTTCTATTTGGCAACAACAGAGCAACAGCAACAGCACAGCCAGTAACAACAAGACCATACCATCCGAAAGCAATTTGGAAAGTTGTAACTTGCTCGAATGCATAATTCATTGGGTTCGACAGTCAGTACGGCGGTAGTTGGTTCGGTCGGTGGTACAGTTGACACATTAGTCCGTAGACAAAAAGGCACACAGACACAATTGCAAATGGCGCTCGAACCAAAGAATGAAGCAAAGAGCAGGCCAGCGAGCCACATATGAAAGCAGCGCAGCCACAGAAGCAGCAAAAGAAGTTGTCAAATGGACAACAAATGAAGCGCATTGTGCAAAACTTTTACTCTGACAGTGGGCCACGCTTGTCGTACCCTTTGAACATGGGCGGGGTACTAACACTTTGCCAAGAAACAGAGATCTAATCTCTGTATTCCTAACAATTTTTGCCAGCTAAAAAACGAAGGTTTCTAATTTGTATTCGATAAAAACTTAATCTAAAATATACCTATCGTAGAAGAATTTATAAATTAGAATCTATTTAGACCTCGCTATACCTCAGGGTATTATGCACTTCGACTATATCTATTTAGCTTTCATGCATTTTTGTTTGCCCTGGGCCATGGTCATTGACATTGCTCTTGGACACGGACGTGGTTGCTTCTGGCCGAACTTGAGCGGGCCAGAAGAAGACGCCAACCAGCCAGCAGCAGAGGGCCGAAGCAGAAAGAAAATTAATTAAACAATCAATTGGCGTAACACTTTCTCTTCTTGAACAATAAAAATAAAAAATAGTAAAAGATTTGTATGTGGTTCGAGCGGCTTTAATGAGCCACGGAACGGCGGTGTGTTGTGTTGGGGCGTGAGTGAACGTTCTAAACCGGTGTTCGGTGACGGCTCAAGCATGTTCGAGACGAACCTGCATGAAAGCCGGCCACTAGGTTGAGCTCTTGAGCTTGAGCCGAGCTTCAAGACTGTGCTTGCGCTGCGCTGCGCTCTCTCGAACCGGTTTCTTGTGCTCTGAATTTGAAATTCGGTTTGTGTGTTGCGTCTCCAGTAGGAGGGGTGGGGGGCACGGTTACTGGGGCTGGAGTGGAGTGGAGTAAAGCGATGACGCAGCTTGTTACGTTCTTGTGCTGATCTTGCCGCAGCACCATACAAAGTAACAAAGAGAAAGAGAGAGGCAGAGGCAGAGGCAGAGATAGAGAGAGCGAGAGCGAACAAATCCGTTATTTGACCCAATTCTAAACTGGAAACGAACGAAAAAGCGTTCGAGAGAAGGCCCCCAAAAGAAGTTGCAGCAGAACAGCGCTGCTTACGTGTGCATACGTGTGCTTGTGTTTGTGTGTCTTGCGTGAAAGTTTCATAATTACATGGTCCGTTCTCTCTCTCTCTCTCTCTCTCTCTGTTCACGTCTTACTGTTGGTTAATCGCCGTCTCATTCTCTGCCTCTGCCGGCGTTCTCTGCTTGTCCCACTTCTGGGGAGAAAGTAAGAACGCAGCGATCGCTCTGCTCGACTCAACGTTCCGTTTCGTGCTTTCTTTATTATCATTCTTGTTGTAATTGATTACATAAGACAAAAGGGGAGGGGGCAGGCAAGTTGCGTCTCTCTCTCCCTGTCTCTCATCAAACCTCTAAGATCAGATCGGCTTAAGCACTGTTTGCTCTTGCGGTATTCGGCTTTTTTCGGGTTCTGTCTGCCATCTGCTCGGGGATCGGATCTGTACCATGGGCCTAACGGTATTGTGGCCTAATATTGTAACACACTCTCTCTCGCTCGCACAAATGCGACTGCCTGTCTAATCATGTCGTTTACCCAATTCTGAAAACTTGTTTAGTTGGCAGAAGTCTCTTTTTCCCCACTTATCGGACTCTTTCACTGTTCTTTTTTCTTTTTTGGTTTCTTGGGCTGAAGAATTTGTTTGGTTAGGTGGGAGTTACATAATTGCTTATCGCCCTTTTTTGGGAGATTTCTTAGAATTTTTTCTGTTTTCAGCCTAATTCTTATAGCTGGCAAGAGGGAGGGTTAAATGGGGTTTTAGGTGTTAAGGAGTGACTGATAAAAACAGATAAATATTAATAATATTTATTTATTTATTGCAGAGATATTATAATAATAATTCAGTGAAACTATATACATATTTGTGATAACCCCTACATATATCTCCTTTCCTCCGTTTGTGACTCACTGCCGGCCTTCCAGAAAGCCTCCAGCACAATTCGAGGGTTCCATTAAGGTCTTCTCCGCCTTCTCCTCCTTTGAGCAATCCAGTGTGTATCCGGAGTCAGATTTTGCTCAGTTCTAGTCTTTTATGGGTCCTTTTTTACATGATATTCGTCAGCCATTTTCTTACTCTGCTCTTGCGCCCAGATGTGCCAGAGCATCTGGCATCTGGTTCTCGAGAGAATATTTACAAGCATGTAAAACCTGTAGAACGGGATGTTTCACAAGTTCTATTAGCATTTTCTGATATGAGAATATGCATCAGTAAATATTAAAGGGTTATGTAAGTGCTATTTGAGGTTTATTCATGGATAAAGAATCCAGCCATCAAGAAAATCTACATATAGAATTAACTAAGAGGAACATTTTTTTGTAGTTTTACTGTAAAAAAAAACTGGTATGCCTCGTAAAGGCAAACAATTTAGAATCATTCTTTGAAGTTTTCCCCAAAAGCAAACAAATTGTAATCCAGTGTTATCCCACATAATCTAAAATCCAGCCCAAATATGATAAAGTTTTCTAATTTTCGTTCTTAAGCATCTGTTAGTTTTGATTTCTCCCACAAAGCTCCTCTCTTTCGTTGGCATATCCGATTTCAGATCTTCTCCATCTTTCAACGGATCTTCTTCCTACGTACCTTCTAAGCGGCGTGTAATGCACTAATTGCTTTGGGTAACAGTTAGATTTCTATAACTAGAAACGCACACACACACGCTATCCGCCCATACCCCCCTGCCCATATCCACTCCGAATGACAGGTTGACAAAAGCTAAACCTAAAAGCTACGGACTACAGACTTTTGAGCTCAAAGCAACAAATAATTTCCAATTAGAAAGAAAAAACTCGCTTGGACTTGATTTACCCCAAAAAATCAACACCAACAACAACAGTGACAACAAATAGCATTATGTGAAATTCTAATAATTTCATTACGAAAAAAAAGAAAGCCACACAATTGTTGTTGCTGCTGTGGCGCTGTGCTGTGCTGTGCTGCTTCTGCCGAGCTTTGACGTCGCTGCGTGCATTGACTTTCCATTCTTGTGCCGCGGCCAGGGCCAAAGCTTCGAGTGTTTGCGAGTGTGTGTTTGTGTGTGTTTTGTTTTTGTATGTTTTTGTGTATTTGCTTTCATTATTCTAATTTCGTTAACCAAAAACACAGGCAAACTTCTCTAACCAGAACGAAAAAGATCTGTCACAGAAACACGATGTACGATGCTTGATTCTAGAACTTAAAAGTGAAACTTTTGAAAGGATTAGCAACATTATACATTTTCTATTGATCTACTGCGATATATACGATAAGTATGCTATATGTACATATGTATGTAGGATATATGCATTCTATGAGAAGTGGTAGTCCTGTGGATCACAGGCATTCCATCTTCTTGTTTTACTTATTTATATTTGTACTTAGTATATTTTTTGTGCATTGACGAAAACAGGCGAAAACTTTCTTTTAAAAACTCTTAAAGTTCCAGAAATCTCTAGAAATTGTTGTGGAAAATGCCTGATAAATAACAGTATTACTTGGAACTGCTATGTATTGGCATATGGTTTTCCTTATACTGACAGCTTTAATGATCCTATAGGGAAGCCATTTGGTAGCCTGTTAGATTATATTTACATATTAAGGGGCAACCCCCGGCTCCCTTTTATGCATACTTCCCAAATTTTTCTGGCAGGCTTAGTAGTGGATATTCTAGCAGATTTCTTATAAGTGATCTTCAGTGATTTAGAGCCGCCCCGTTTTGGAGTCAATTAGGAAAGTTCGAGTTAGAGACGTTCGACTGTGTGGCATAAACAAAGTGTTTATCAACGGAACAACACGCCAACAAACGGCGTAAATAATGAAAACAAACTCGTAAATGAAATCAAGTTGAATGCACACACACACACGCACACAGAGATGGCAACAAAAATTATAAAATTGTTATTATATGACGAATTTCTTTCGGATACTTAACAACAACAAAACTTGCACGATAAAAAGAAAGCAGCAGAAAGCTGTCTGTCTCCCGGTCGCCTCAGTCAGTCGATGGACGTTTCTACATGTGACGCCCGACCCGACCGCCCGTTCGCCCGACCGACCAACCGACCGACCGACCGAGTGTTCGTTCTGCAAAACATAACGCAAGAGAGCAATGCTCTCCCAATCTCCCACTCTCTCTCTCTCTCTCTCTTACTCTCTCACTCATAAGTGAGCTTTTTTTTGGCTTTGCAATCGATCATTGAACTTTGGTTGTGAAAACTAGAGCAAGACCCAAATTTCTTCACAACGCCAGTGCATACACACGCACTTAGCACACGCAGACATGCTCGGTGCGAGTGTGTGTGTGTGTGTTATCAGCTTCTCTTTTGCTCCCACTCTGTGGATAGCTTTCTTTCTGTCTTTCTTTCTTGCTGCGCTGCTGCTGTTTGCTACTGCTGCTGCTACTGCGGGTGCCGGCTGGTGCTTATTGCCATTACTATGTACCTCTTAAGCCCGTATGACACCTCTGCCACGGTGCAGCAGCTGCAGTGCAGCTGTATAAGCCTTGTGGTAAAGTATCTTAGTCAGAGGATTATACATAATGTATTTCAACTGCTGCTCAGATTAATTTCTACTGCTTATCACAATTAATCAATTTTTTGTTCCCAAATATTTGGAATTAGTTCTATGGGTAAAATATTGTACATTGAGCAGGGAACAGAAAAAACAACATATATTAAAAAAATATACACTTTATGATTAATAATTATTGTGAGTAGAACAACCTTGTAAAACAAGAAAAGCTCCCCCAAGCTCAAATCAGTACTGTGTCCTTACAGAATCGTTCAAAACGATAGAAATTTTCGCTAGATGTAATAAATTTTAAAATTTGTACATATATGATAAAGCTTTAAATATTAAATAATACCAACAAAATTATATGTCACAGTCTATGGTACTATATGGATGGAAAATCCAACCTAAAATCCCTCAGAATTTTATGGCCAACATCATACAGGCTTGCTTCCCCATGTGGCAGTATCGCTTATGTTAAGTGATTTCTCAACTGCTGCCTTTGTTTTGTCTTTCATGGCTTTCATGGCTGTGTTCTGTGATAAGAGTCATAAATATACCCATACCTATTTCTATGGATGTGCATGTGTGTTAATGTGTCACCGGTCAATACGCAATAGACCTGAAAATAATAAATAAATTGTTAATATCAAATTATAAAGCTATCTGTGAATCATTCGAAAATTGGGGGCACGTTTGGTTCCAATTGGTTTCATAACTAAATATTTGATGACAATTATATGATTAGTATTTCCAAGGAAAATTGTATGCTATGGTGATAATGATTATAAGATATGGCTTTTAGACATATTATACTAGAGGCAAGCCCCCAGCGCCAATATCTGGCGACGACCCAAAACTTTCTTATATAAGGGAGATAAGATTTTAGTCTGATTTTCTAGACCCTTCCAATAATTAAACATACATTATATTAAAATCGAATTAAATCATAACCATTTGAAGGAATAATCGATCTGCAAGGGTATCTAAGACCTCGGACTCCGAACAACCCCTCTCTTTTTGGTGGCCTGATAATACTCAACTGGTTCTTTCATCAAAAAATTACTCTTGAGAACTATTAAATAATAATCAAATTGATATTCTAGAGCTATCAACCAAAAGTATAAATGTTAGCTAATCTTCAGTTTTTTTTGGATCAGTACAATAACAGGAAGTGCGTTTTACTTGTTTCAAAAGATCGTGTATGGCAGAGATATGGATGGGTCATAGAAAACCTATTTGGTTCTTAATAACTGATCAATAAAACGTTTAAATTGGATCGGCACTATACGATATGCTATCCACACATATAAAAGTTGGTAGGGGGCCAAAGAAAGTTCTTGGCTCGAATGGAAACCGTTATGGATATCTTTACAGATAAATTTCGGTTTCGTTTGCGCCACTAAAGAACGGTCTGATATCAAAAGTTGCTTGGATTTGGGGGATCTCCGGCCTTTCACAAGTGTATGAGTGTGTGTGTGTGTGTCCGAGAGACGTTTCGAGGTTCGGTGTGAAAGTTGTAAGCTCCGGCATACGCCAGCCAACACATAGCTGTTGTTGTTATTGGTGTTGCTTCTGAGATTTTCGGCAGAGGAAGAGCAAGACCACGGGCGACTGTGAGAGAGTGAGTAAGTGAGCGATGTGAGGGCCTGCGTGTGCGTCTGCGGGAAGTTCATTCACATTTGCACTCATTACGCGGCCAAACGTTGGCGTCGCTGCCCCCGCACACACACAGATACACGCGCTAGAAGTGTTTATATGGGATGCAAGCGCCCCTCTAGTGATGCTCTCTCTCTCTGCTCTCTGCTCTCTGCTGTGGCCGTTGGTTTGAGTGAAGACGATGATGATGATGATGATGATGTGGCACTGCTCCCGACTGCACATAATAATGATATTTTCTAAGCACACTTTTCATCACGTTGCCGCTTACAGGTGTCCCGGATTGATTGCCAAGTCCAAGCCCAGCAAAACTGTTGCGCCTCGTTTGACGTTCGTCGTACGCCTCGCCTCCCGTTTCTGCTGTTTCTGTCGTTTGTGTCGTTTCTGTGTCATGTAATAGGCACAACGGAGTAATGTGACTTTCGAGTGCCCGACCTGAACCCGTCCCGTGCCATAACGTCCCGACCCCCCGCCCACCACCACTTAAGCAACGTGCTCCGGGTCTATCCCGGGCGAATGGTGTAAGCTCCATTGCACCTCTCTCCACTCCACCCCACTCCACATCGCAACCCTACACATAGACCGCTCAGTAGGCCAGCTAGCAATCGCTTCGAACTCGCACAGTCACGTTTGCTGCTCACGTTTTTCTAGCAGCGCAGCCAGCGTTTGTCCATCGAACAGGTTGGATGTTGCACGGCGCGGGCTCTGGTCTGGTCTGGTCTGTCTTCTGTGTCTGTGTGCCAGCGTAACACAGTTTGTTAGAAAACGGGGGCTACCTGGACAATGGGGTGGGCCGTAGTAGGGGATGAGGGCAGTAGGCAGTAGGCAGGGGCCTGGCTTGGGCCTGGGCCTGCCTTTGAGATGTGGTGACGTCCAGCGTTGCTGTGGTAATGATTGTGGCATATTTTCTCACGTTGCACAGCCGGACCAAACACAGAGCCAGTGGCCAGTGGCCAGTGTCCAGAAACATCTATGATGATGATGATGATGTTGAAGCTGTCGATGCAACACTGCTGCTGCTGTTGGACACGCTTTCGAGGTCAAGAGACGTGGACTGGTGTGTCGTAAGCACAGAGCAATGGAAAATTTATACAGGAAGCACGCCAAGTTCTATAAATGAATAGATGGAAACACATTCATATGTACCTGAGCAAAGGATAAACATTATTTCAGGTATTTGGAGGATATTTATAGAAGGTAGGGTTCGTAATAGGACTACAGATAAAAGAATAAAAAGAGGTTATTTGTTATTAAAGTTTTTTCAAAACTCAAAGAAGTATTATATGTTTGATGGCAAGGACTGCCTGCATTGATACGACTATTTAATGTAAGAATAGGTGAAAGAACTCATTATTTTCATCTGCTTTTGCCAGGGCACATTCCATTCCTCTAAAAGTTGTTTTGAATACATTCAGTATCACCTTGTTTCTCTATAGACCATATCGGTCATTCCGCACACCTGAAATTCCACACAAATTTACGTACGAGAGAGCAGTGCAATTCGTCTCGGAGTCTGCTCTGAAATGTGTTCAGCAATTTGTAAATAAAACCTTTTGCACTTGACAAATATATTTGCTCTGTAATTAAACAGAAATGACTGTGCAAAATCACATTGCAAAAGTTACATAATTTGCCCCGCGGGAGCTTCGAACGGCTGATCAGATCAGAACCGGACAAAGAACGAATTTGTATGTGCACCGAGTGTAAGTCAACGATTGTAATAATAAATTGAATTGCATGCAATGTCATTAAAAAATGTATTTCCAATATGTGTATTTGTAGGTGTATTTACACAGCGGATTTATGCCTGTGTATGGAGGTGATTGCTATAGAAGTAGGTGTGTATTTGATAGCAAATGTATAGCACTGGAAAATAGAAATTATGCATACTTCAACTCGGTATTACTCACTGAGTTTTAGTGGATATAGAATTAATAATTAAACATCTACGGATACATCCTGAAATCTGCTAAATTGTGGAACAGCTATAGACTGTTTAGTACCATAATTAGCGCGATAACTACTTAGCTGAAGATAACATTAACATTTCGGTGGGATTTATCAATTCGCTAACTATCTTTACTGCGTCCATAGCTCTGGATTATATGCCTTAGACAATACGTAAACGACCTATACGAACAATATCTGACAGATAAGCCTATACGACAAGAAGTACTTAATTCAATTAAGGTGTAATCGATATTCTATATAAGCCTTATCAACGGGGAAATCTCACAGACTTTAGCTTTTGAATCAAGTAATTGTAAGTATGCGAAACATTTAAAAAATATTGCGTGCATTTGTGGGCACTACACCCCGGCAGTTCCTTGCGATTCAGGGCCATATAAATCTCATTAGGTCATAGGATTCGAATGCATTTAAGTGGCTTGCATTCATGCAGGAACTGGCCTCGTTTCGCTGGGAAACATCCTTCAATTCGATTTCTACTGCACTGACCTATCGTACTTTATTCCCAAAAAGCCAGCAATGTATCTGCAGCACTGTCACTCCAATGTAGGTTATATGGCCGCATAGCGTTACAACAACAACAAAAACAGAACACGTTACCACAGAGCGCATCATAGCATCTGCAATCAATCTGTCCACTCAACCATTGTACATTTTCACTACCTCAACAACACGCAAAAGTAGCGAAAGAATGTTGGTTGGTATTCCGACTAGGAAATGCCCTGTATTCAGTGGAGAGTGAAAAAGAGGATATAGACTTTTTTACGAAAGAACATTTTGGGTAAACCCAACCGCGAAGGCGAAAAACCCATAGATCTATGGGAAAATCGGAAACAATCTTAGATTCCAATCTAAAAACCCCACGCGGACCCAATCTACCCTCACAGTTTACTACTAAGGGGTATGTGAAATAAAAGCTCGCGAAAGGACCAACCCCTCACCCTCATCCAGAGAGTGGAAAAAATAAGGAATAAGAAGAATATACCTATATTATATTGGATGGAAAGACACAGGGTGGTGGACACATAATGGCAACAATAGCGTGGAAATGTTCTTCAAGAATCGCGCAATAAGTGGAAAACACGTTAAATTGCAGCTCGACTCAAGTCGCCAACATGTGAGCTGCTGCGGCGGGCCGCTTCGCTCTCGGGAGCGTTGCACTGCTGCCGCTGACGTCGCTGCCGGGCCTGGGCACATTCCCCAACACGTGACCGAGGCGGGTGCGAGCGTCAGCGTCGCGCGCCTCTCGGTATAAATAGCTGTCGCGTTGCTATAACTTGACTGCCGATGCCAGTGCAGTGCAGTGCGGGGTGGTGCGGTGCGGTGCGGGGGGATATTGCTCTGGGTCTCTGCTCCGTGGGTGTGTGTGGAAAGGCAGGGGGAATGCTGGGGCGATAGCTTCTATTACGTTGTTGTTCTTGCAGCTGTCGGCGACGTTTCGTAACCTTTTTTGGCGTTCTTTCTGGCTGTAGTTCAACGTCAGCGTCAGCGTCAACGCTTGCGTTGGCGTTGTAACTGTTCGCACTCTCTCTCTCACTCTCACACTCTGTCCTGCATTCTTTCTTTCTCCCTGCAGCCAATGGGAGAGCGCTGATTGTGTGCGTGCTTGCGTGCGTGCGTGAGTGTGGGTGATTTATTCGAGGCTCTTCCATATTCCCTGGGTAAAATGTTAGTGCATACTCACTTTGAGCCTATAAATACTAATTGTTAAGGGTGTAATATGGGAGGTGCTCCAGAATAGATATCACTCATTTTGTGTTCGAGTATATTTGTGTATGTTTTCCAAGCATTATATCCTTATACTAATATTTCACAAGGTCTACAAAATTTTTATTTTATGGGAATTTAAGGAAATCAAATTAAATCATACTCTTTCCAACTGATTTATCTCAAATTAAAACAGAACTAGTCGCATGGAGACCACTAATATACTTACTTAGAACACTTGGACTGCACCTTGAAAGGGGTGGGTGGCCTGGAGGAGCAGCGGCAAGGTAGGGTACGAAAATAAACACGATTGGTTCGTACACGTGAATCTACTCCCTCACGTGGATATCGCTTTGATCGCGTAACTGGGATTTGTTCATGATTAGCAGCGCCGGCGGCAGCGGCGGCGGCAGAGCTGCTTGAAATTCGTCTGAGATTATTTAGTTAGTACGGACAACCAGCTGGAACCGGCTGGAAGGGTGGAAGGGGTCAAGTGAGTGTTAGGTAACAGGTGGATGGGGTAAATGTTGTTGGTTTTGTTGCTCAGAGCTGTCTGGGACTGTAGAACGATGTGTGACGAGAAAACGGAAGGCGGACTTGAGTACTCGTAAGTTCTGGCTGAATTCTAAAACTAGTTTCCATGTCCCTCCATTCCATTGATAGAAGAGATATTACCAAGACGGATATGGTAGCTTGAATCCACATCCTGTTAAGACAGGGGGAAATTAAGGATCTCCAACAACAGTCGAAACTATTAGTCTAAGAACCGTGTCCAACTAATCTTAGCACTAACCTCTTTCTTTAGTGTCTTATTGTTCATTGATTGATGATTCTATAGTTCAATCAGTGATGCATGGTTCAAATATATTTTGACAAAATCCTCCATATAATCACAATGAATTTGCCTCATATACCCCTTGTTCACACAATTTTATTGTGTAATAAAACAAGCATAAACTTGTAAATCTTCTTTGAAACTCTTAGAAATATATTTATGCCCAAAATATGTTAATTACTTTTAATAATATTTTTTCTAAATAATTCAAAAGAGTTTTGTTCACATGCCATTAATTTAATTTTATTCCGGGGAACTCCACTAAATACAAAAATTTTCAGTGATTTTCATAAACAAAACTGGTTGATATATTACCAGCTCAACAATTGTTTCGTAGAACTGATATGCACTGTTCTTACAGCATAAATATCATCCAATAAGAATGCTCTTCCTGTTCCCAGAAAAGACCGGGAGATAAAACTTATTACATATGCTGTATGCAATGCTTTTTATCATCACTTTTTCCTTTTCCTCGCTCTTTCTCTTTTTTTGTAGCCTTCCTTCTAAAAGATAATCCAATAAGATTCCCAGAATTGTAGCTACATATTTTTATATTTCTATTTTTTCAGCAAAGTTTGATGGAAAAAATCTACAAGAAACGAGCTTTTCTTTTGTGGTTTCCTTTTGCTTTTTTATTTCATTGGTGGACAAACATTTTGCAGTGTCTGTTATCGCTTTAGTTGAAGGCGTTTTGTAATCACCTTTGAGAACTTTTTTAATTCGAATTCAATAGAATTCATTGTTTTGATAGTGTCCCACAATGGTATATGTACACATATACTCACATATTTGCTTATATTTGATTGCCGAGTGTTAGTCAGTCGTCGTCGAGTATCGTCCCAGAACTTACATAATGTCTCCCGACCTTACTGTTTCCACAATTCCACTTCCTTCCCCGTTGCTTCCCGGTTGAAATGCCAGAGTCTTTGTTTGATATTGTCGTCTGGCTTCTCTTGGGGTCTTGAATTGCAACTTACTTGTCCGTCCCCAAGAGATAACCTTATCTGACAAAGGGTCTATTAATTGATTTATATAAAAGTATAAAATCATTTTGTAATGGTCGGCCATGCAGACAGCTTGGTAGCAGGATGCGAGTAGACCTCAGAGTGGTAATACTTCTGACTGCAAGTACGAGTATACTCGTATATCTGTATTTACCTTCTCGAATGGGGCCACGTGATCGTTCAAATGAGCGCACTTCCCTCTCCACGGAGTACATACTAAATATAACCATATTTGAATGGCTGTTAATTGCATGCTGCTTTTTTTCCATTTTTATTATGTAGATCTGTGCGGGCAATAGTACCGGATGCCTTTATAAACGTGTTCATTATTGATCATTTGATTGAATTCGATAGGATATACATACGTAGAAATCAGTGGGTAGCCTACAACAAAATACCTACCAACAAAATATCGTTAAAAGGGATTTTAATGCTTTTCAAAATATTCTCTAATTTTGCATCCGCTGAAACCAGTCTTCAAAGATCTTTCTCCATTCCTCTGAAACTCCTTTTTTCCGGTACATCAGCCGTTTTTGGACTACCCCCAGTGGCCATAAATGATGCTTCATCACCAAAAGTTGAACTAAGTTCATCAAGGAATTCTTGTTTTAAAAATTCACGAAAATCGCAGAAAATCATTGCATAATCAATCAAAGTTCAATGTAGATTATGTTCCTTGAGTCACCCCTATTCTAAATCGATGAAACCATTTACCATTTTTAAATTAATACCGACAATCAGTGTTTCCATAAAGAACTTTTTGTTTTGGCTTCCTTGCCTGTTTGTTGTCTCCATCTTCTTTTCTTTTGTTCTCTTTTCGTTGCTCTCCTTCTATCTATCTTCCATCAAAGGTACATACATATGTATATGCATATGCATTTGTGTTTGTAATTGCATTCTTGATTGCTAATCATGTGTTTGTTCTCTGAATATTTTTGTGTAAGACGCTTGCGTCACCCCGCCGCTACAACTGGCACACCAATACCAATGGCAGCTTAAAGCTCACACACAGACACAGAGTCTGTCATAAACACTGCCAGAATCAGTCGCGGTAGCAGTCGGATTCTCCGTCTCTGTCGCAGAGGGGCTCACGCGGCCAACAGCACCTCCTCCAGTCACCTATGGCAGCGTCAAGAGCGCCCCCGATTTTCCCCCTGCAACCAGAAGCGGCCAGGCAATCACGTTCTAGTTTCAAATGTGCAGCTCAGAACGATTTCAGACGATTTGGACGGCTGATTACTCAACAACGGCAATGTGATCGCTGGCAACGCGCGCAACAGGCAGCACCGGACGCAACATGTTCGATGGCCCCCCAATGATGGGAAAATTTCACTTTTACCAGCAGCCCGAATGCGCCAAAGGCGGTCGAGCATGTTGCGACCTGTTTGAGAGGCAACCGGAGTCGCGTGTAGCGAATGCGTGCAGCCCCAACGTGACCGAGCGCCGTCGAAGCGGGCGACCGACAGCGGAGAAATGCTTTTACAAATTCAATTGCGCTTCAGAGTTCGTCCAAAGCGGTTGTGGGGCTCTCGCGATTTCGGTTGAAACCACTAGCAGCAGCAGTGAAAACGTCAACGAGAACCGTTAATACAAGCATTCGGCCAAGTGCGCGATCCGCAACAAGACACGGCCCCGCCAGAAAGTCAAAGAAATCAGAAAAAGAAAAAACCAGAACGAAAGCCAAGTGCATAGAAAGTTTTTGTGGTTCTAAGTGGAACAAACAAAGTGATTAATTTGTGGATTAATTTCGATTTTTGGAATGCAAATATCAGTGGAACTATCATTAAGCATCTGCCACCGGAACAATACAAAAGAAAAGAATAACTGAAAAGTGAGATAAAAATATTTTCGAAACATTATGTCGATTGTGTGCACGCTGGAGCAAAAAGTGAACTTTTTCAAAGCGGCTGCAACGACCAAGAATCTGCTGATTCTGAAGAACAGCAACAATTTGGATACCCCCTACAAGCAGGATAATACCACGAACAGCCACAAGGAGTCGCAGCAATGTAGGTGTTACCAAACAACAACAAATCGGAACAAGAACAGTTACCAGTTAATCGGAAAAAGAACAAAAATTTGCAAATTTCTTATGAAAAGCGGGAGGGAGAGATAGAGAGAGAGAGAGAGTCAGCATGGATGGCCGTGCACACTTAGTCATTTTGTTTTTGTGAATTTTGTCAAGGCAGAGGCCAGCAGCAGCAGCAGCAGCAGCAGCAGCAGCAGAGAAGACGACAGCGACTGCAGTCGTTCCTCTGTTGCTTGCTCTCTGCTGCTGCGTCGAGGTTCTTGGGGGTGGGTGGGTGCCGTTGTCGTAGGGGTTGCCTGCCGGCAGCTGCGGCGTCAGCGTCGACGTTAACAGCGTCTGGCCGCTGACGTGACTGGCTGTACAAGCGTCGTGCATGTGTATGGGTGTGTGTGATGGCGAGCACATTGAACTGTAAATGCCAATTCGATGGTCACGGTGAGGGTGAGGGTGAGACGATGCGACCGAGAGCACACACAGTCCAACGCCAATCTCCGACGTGCGATTTCTTGTTTACGTTCCGACGCCGCCGTCTGTGTCTGTGTGTGTGTGAGTCTGCCTTTGTTGCTGGTTCTCTCTCTCTCTCTCTCTTCCTCTGTGTCGTCTAATTCTCGCCGATTCTTGCATCATTCCCCGTAATCATTGTGTAAATGCTTGTGCTAAAAACGAAAGCAATTTTCGAGTGGAGTTGGTTCTCCTCCCCCCTTTTTGTGGGTTGGGTTTTTGGGGGGCAAGGGCAAGGACCATCAAACAAAGAAAGTCTGCGTGTGAGTGTTTGCCGTTATTTGTGTCTGCCTCGACATCAGACCAGACCAGAGCAGACCAGACCAGCAGAGATCGCTTTAGACACATCGGACCCAACGGTTTTCGAATTGAGTGGGAACTCTTGCCAACTACCCCGATAACGGTTAGAGGAGATAACATTATAAAAGAAATGTCATAAATATGTGATAAGTGGCCGTGTGTTTCTGACAGAAACAGGAGATAGCCGGTATCTTGAGACCTGAAATTGGCACCATGGTGTTTTGTTTGCCCAAAAGATCTATGGATAAGGATAGAATTGATGATTACCAATTTGTTAGCCTGTTTTTAGGCGTCAAAAAGAGGAGGTTGTTTTTTATAAAGATAGAATGATCCCAAAATAAATATTCACTAAGAAATATCGTAATAAATATGTTAACTTATAAATTATTCCCTTACTCTCTCATTCCAGTTGCACGCACACAGCAACTAAATTCGCAACAGCAACAGCAACACCATCTGCACCAGAAACTAGTGCAGTTGCAACACTATAGCCAGCACAAGCTGAGTGGCAGCAGCGGGGACTACCCGTACGCCCCACACCACCACCATCCCCTAGCTCTAGCTGCGGGCGGAGCACACCTGACGCCCCTGAGGGATCCAGGAAAGCAGCTCTACAAGGACGCTGCAATGCCCGAAGTGCTCAGCGGCACCCCCACCAATAGCCACAACAAAGCCATCTCCAGCTCGATCTCCATGATGAACAACGTCCGCATGACGAACATCTCCCCGACGCTGTCGATGAACGGCAGCTCCAACGAGGCCACAAATTGTAAGTCCATCTAGCAGCACACCAAGAAGCCAATTTCCAATCTAACTAATCTCTCCTTTCTATTCCCATTTGCAGTGCATCCCCTGTCCATGTACGGAGGATCCATCAGTCCACAGTCCAATGACAGCGGCATGTCCGACAGTCTAGGCAAATTTTCCCAAGGCAACGGCTACGGCGACAACATGATGGGCAAGAACTCACCGAACGGCAACGGGCCCCAGTCGGCCATGACGGCCGCCCAGAAAGAGCTCTTCTCGCAGCGCAAGCAGCGGGAATTCACGCCGGACAACAAAAAGGACGAGAGCTACTGGGACCGCAGGCGCCGCAACAACGAGGCGGCCAAACGGAGCCGGGAGAAGCGTCGCTACAATGACATGGTGCTCGAGCAGCGCGTCATCGAGCTGACCAAGGAGAACCACGTGCTGAAGGCCCAGCTGGATGCCATACGCGACAAATTCAACATCTCTGGCGAGAATCTGGTGAGCGTGGAGAAGATCCTCGCCTCGCTGCCCACCAGCGAGCAGGTCCTGAGCAACACAAAGCGCGCCAAGATGAGCGGCGGCGGCTCCTCGTCCTCCTCGTCGCAAAACGATGACGGTGGCTCCTCGCCCAGCGGACACTCCCACAGTGGCTACAACGGACAAAATGCTCCACTGACACCTCTCATATACGGCCCCAATGGCAATGGCCGTCAGTCCTCTGTAGAGCCGACTGTCAAGAGCGTCCATCATATTCAGCATGCGCCTCCACCACCGCCGCCATCACACCTGCAGACGCTGGTCGTGCCCCAACCCCAACACCAGCCCCAGCATCTCTACCAGCCACAGCAGCCGCAGCAGCAGCAGCAACAGCAACAGCAACAACAGCAGCAGGAGCCCACACCCAGTGCCGACTGCAGCTCACCGCCCATCGACTCGCACAACCGCCCGCCCACCAACACAATCGCCAGCCTGCAAGTGCAGATCCAGCAGGCGCTCAATCGCAATGTGCGGCCCGAGGATCTGGACAGTCTCCGCAAGGCGGTGGCTGTCGGAGCCCTCTATAACGCCGCTGCCGTGGGAGCACAGGGTCCTCCCCCACCCGGTGCTTCGCTGTATGTGCCCGCACCGGGTCCGTATGTGGCCGCCATTAACAAGGAGCATCTGGAAGCCGCCGCGTGGAGCCACAGCGTGGAGGGAGCCGTCAGCAGCAGCGCCGTGGATGCGGTCAGCAGCTCCTCCGTTGCCGTTTCAGCCGCAGCCAGCGTGCTGAACCTGTCGCGACGAGCCTGCTCTCCCAGCTACGAGCACATGCTCTCCTCCACCACATCCTCAACATCTTCCCCCGCCTCTTCAGCCCTCTCGTCCGGCTCTTCGGGTGCCGGCTCCGGCGACGACGAGCAGGAGCTCGAGCCGCACGTCCATGGCACACATCTGGCACCCCTGCAGCTGCAGCGCAACAGTCCGCCCCATGGCGTTGGCAACAGCGATGCCAACAACTGTCTGCCCCTCAAGCTGCGCCACAAATCTCACTTGGGCGACAAGGATGCGGCGGCCACAGCTCTGCTCTCCCTGCAGCACATCAAGCAAGAGCCCAACTGCAGCCGAGCCTCGCCGCCAGCCTGGAACGATGCTGGCGACAACTCCAGCGACGAACGCGACTCTGGAATCTCCATCGCCAGTGCGGAGTGGACGGCGCAATTCCAGCGCAAGCTGCTGGTCCCCAAGGAGGCGGCCGCCGGCACTGTCGTATCGACGGTCAAACGCGATCAAATGCTGAAGACGCAGCTGGAGCGCCTCGAGTCTGAGATGGCCAGCATCAAGAGCATGATTACACTCGCAGAGTAGGCACGGGAGCAAGAGCAGTATCAGGATCAGGAGAAAAGAAAGCAAGGCAGAGGAGAGAGAGCGAAGAGACAGAGACTCTGGTTGAATCAGAGTCGAGGTTAAGTTTTGCGGAGCGCTTAGAGTAGAGCGGAAGCGAGAGGAGAGGAGAGAGTTCCATGGCGCCAGTTGTTCTCCTGACACACACATACCGAATCACACACAATTTTTGAGTACGATTATATATAGAGTACCTCCAGAGCTACATATAAGGAATGGAATTTTTAACCTGAGTCCAGAGAGTGTCCAGAGTGTTGACTATTAGAAGAGTTTATATCTATCGAAAGATGTATTTTTATCTCCATTTCTATCTCTATCTCTGTTTGTATCTGTAACTTTAAATGTATCTGTGTTTGTTCTGTAATCGTGTACTCAAAGCGTATCTATTTATATGTATCTGTGCGTTAAAGCTATATAGATCTCGTCTAAGTCGGAGCTAAACGATGAATCCCTAAGATCAACAAGAATTTCTTTCTTTCAACGTATACGCTATATAGGAGATTGGTGACCCACGCGAGTCGGGGTCACCAAAACACGTTTATGTGTCCCAAAAAGTTTCCTTATGCACAGATTGAAGATTGAACATATATATTTTGTAGGCAGACAAATGTTGCTAAGTATTTTGCTATTGTACATATTACACAATTATGCTATATGCTGTATTCCTACGATATCGTGTACATAATTTTAGTTGCAAGCTAAGCTTATTTTATTTTATTTTATACTATATTATATTTAATTGCGTAGTGAAGCAAAAAACATATACATTAACCTTTAAGAGAGAAACGCGTGAAGCACATTCAAAACTTGAGAGATGCAAGAAATCTGAAAAGAATTCGTAATATATTCGACTACTATATTCTGCAATAAATAATTTTAAAAATGTCTCCCTACCCAAAATGTTTGTCGTTCCCAATTTATTTATTGTTTTGCTGCTGCTTTATTTGGGCGCTGTAGCGCTGTAACTAAATTTTATCAAAGTTTAAGAAACTCTGAGAAAAAAACAAAGGAAATACACACTCAATTCGATATGCATATACTATATACTATATATTGTAGTTGTTGTAGATGTGTATTAGTGTTGTAGCAGCCAGTGTATTCCATGTGAGAGCGTGCATTCACCTTTGCAGTTGTATTAACTCTACAAATAACTATTTACCCATATGCTAAAGCCACACTACACAAAGGAAATGAAAGAGAATGAAACACACACAAGAAAATACATATGATTATTACTATTACTATTACAATTACTATTACTATTACTGTGCTTACGCAGCTCTATCTATATGACTATATTGATATAATGTGAATCTATACCAACTAAATACATACATGGAAATATATATATATATATATATATATACATATATATAACTCGTTTGTGTTGATCAATGAAAATAAAACTACATTTTAATAATGATGAAAGAAATCCATATTCGTTTTTGATCACTTTAATCTCTTCAAGAATGGAACAGTTTTTTTTAGGCAGTGACTGAAATCTTTAAGAAGTCCAACAATAAAACGAATTGCATTTTGTGCATTTTGTATTCCAGCTAAAAAAAGTTTCAGTACTTAGTATGTTTTCAATGGATGATGCAAGCTATGTTACAATTGGAATTGCTCTATGGATCTTACCATACATAATCAGATGATATCATCCATCTCAAAAGCTAATGCCTAGTACTGAGGATATGCTGCTGAGGGCAGTATTTTTGTAAGTCTATTAGTAATAGTTATTTAGGCTATTAGTAATATTTGTAAAAGGCATCTATCAAGTCTTGTGACATTTTTACTGAAGTCTAGGCCTACACGTAGCATAATTGTTCAAAATGTCCGTAAAGTTTTCTTCGACTAATGAAATTCCTAAAGGCTTATTTAGAATAAGTTCTCCAAATCTATCTGCCAAAGAAATATTTGATTTGCTTGAATAAAAAGGCTATAAGTTAGAATGACAGCCCTGACAAAAGCAGAATTATATTATTATCAAAACTCTTGTGGGACCCGCGAAACCAAATGACGCACTCGATGAGCGATCAATAACATTAATAAGCCAGACCCCATGCTACTCCAGTAAATGTAAACATCTCCGCCACACTTGCTAATATCTGTTAACGTAAACATCAACAATGAACCTTAATAGAACTACGCTCTTGAAATGCAAGAAGATTGGCTTCAGCATAGGCTTCGATTTCACTAATATACGAGATCAGAAATTGAGATCAGTTCTGAAAAGCGTTCGATAAGAAGCGGTCGCGAGTTGTGAATCCTCAAGCGAATTAGCTAGTCCGGTTAACAAACAGACTTGTATCCAAAGGTGTAACCATACACGCCATAGCCAATAAGTGATAAGTGATAAATCATATTGTTTATTTGAAAAGTGATATTCTATCTGTCGGCATGGGTACATCAACTGCTTTAATTTTGGTTTAGTTTGAGCTGCATACAGTAATTGGACATTTTCTAATGGAGTATTGGCACTGAAAACTTTTTACCGACGCGTTGAAAAAAGCCAAGTCGCAGGCCAGCTCGCAATGTGGCATTTATTATTATTTTCTCCTGTGTATCCAACGGCTCTTTTTTTACTTCTTCGATAAGGGCTATGATCCTCTCATAGGTAATGGGCTGCTTTTGGTTCTGGATTAACTGCAGGATCCACAGTCCATTCTGATTTGTGCTGTTGTTTAGAAAAGTTATTAAAATGATAGTAAAAGATGAATAGTGCTCTCACCTGTTACTCATAACTGAGCTTGAATTATTCAATTTTTTGACTGGAAACATAAAATTTTTAAGTTAACTGGAACTAAACTGTAATGTATGATAAGCTCCCGACAATATTCAGTTTAGAAATGAAATGAAATGTAAGGTATAGCTCCTAGGCTAGAAAATGTATTTCAGAGCCTTCTTTGTTGCTCCGAACGATGGAAGCATGAATTGCGACATGCTCACACGCACATTTTCATTATTTTGTTGTATCTGTTCGTCTGTTCTTCTGCTTTACTATTTCACATTTTGGTATTTTAAAAGTTTGGATACAAAAATTTTTGCAGATAGACGACTAGCGGGAAATGTATGTAATAGTACTTATGAAAGTCTGGATCTCAGGGATTAAATAGATTTAATATTTCTCTTTTTGTCTTGGGCCTACGAGTATCTAAGTATTGGTAAATATTGGTGACTTTCCTTAAAAAACAAAAAAAAACTATTGCCTTGTTGAGTGGTAAAGAGATTATATTTATTCTTAATAGATTTGTTGTTTGTATTTGTACAACGAAAAAAAGTATTGATAATTTAAGTTTATTCAGAATAATATCGTGTGTATGTCACTAATTTGGTTTTGTCTTTTATCATTCATTATTAGAAATACAATAAAGGTATAATAATTAAATATTCTCTGTCATTTTAATAATAAATCCTTAAACATCACATGAAAAGTTTTTCTTGTTGGTTTTCCATTCTCATTTTTATTTCTTTCTTTTTTGTTTGTTTGTCATTTCAAATACTCGTACTTTCCTATACGTCTTTGGTATAATTTTCATTAGAAGATTTCCAAGAATTTCATTGGATTGTTTCGTAATTAGCCTAGGAAAAATGTATCTAGTCCACAAAAGTTATAGACTTAGATCAAGACCTGTTTATAAATTTCATTAATACATATATACGAGTATAGGTACATATATATATGCACGTATAATAGCTTATGAATAGTAAGTACCATATGTTGTGGTTGTTGAGGGTTTTCGTATTTGGTATTTGGTTTTTTTTTTGGGGATTCGGTTGTAAATATATGTAAATACAGAATTTTTTCCTTTGGTTTAAGACGATCTCTCACTTTGTGGTTGTATATAACTCTCCCAGCCTTGCCTTGAAGAATAGCGTTCGCGATATTGGTATAGAGGTCTGTATATATCGTTTATCTATATAGTATATATATATATCATTTTTTGTTTCTTTGGTTGAAAGTGCAACTGTAAATTGTAGGTACTTAAACACTAGCTACAACACAACACATGCCACGCCACGCCACGGTCCATCCTTTCTCGTGTGGGAGTTGTAAAATTGTTTGTTTTTTAAGGGATTCGTGTACGAATTTTGGTGGCAAAATCCATCAAAATGCATTTTCGTTTCTAACTAAGTTTCATTCTCCTTTCTACAATACATTCCTTTTTGGTTTTTTTTGGCATTATCTAAGAGAGGTCAAGAGTGTTTTGTTTGGTGTTTCTTTGGTTTCGTTTTTTTTTTGCGTTTTTGGAAAACGTTGATTTTGGCCTTAAACTTTGGTAGATTTGTTAGCATCGGTTGGGTTCTGTTTTGGTTTGTGGTTTTTTTCGTGTTTTCTTGTGTAAAAAGGTACATGATAAGATTGTTTGACGACGCATCGCAATGTGGGAGGGGGATTACGGGATCCAAGGGATCCTACTGAGCTTCTGTAGTCTACGCCGCCGCTGAGCCCTGAGTGGAGCCAGAAGCCCCTGCAGCCGCCACCGCCGGCGCAGCCGAGGTCGTGGCGGGAGCCGCTGCCGCTGCAGCTGCAGCCGTGCCGGCTGTGCTCTGCTCCAGGCTCCAGGGATGCACCATGTCGTAGTACTTGCGGTAGTCGTAGTCAAAAAGCTCGAAATCGATGCGATATATCTTGAGCAATTGGTCCAACGTTGAGCGATCGATATCGGCAAAGTAGCGCTCGACCACGGCCTCCGACTTGATGCCGCTGCGCGCCTGGTTGCCGATCCTGCGCTGCTTTCGCTGCGGCAACTTTCCCAGGCCCAGGAGCAGCGTCTCCAGGCCCGCCTGCCGTATGATGAACTCCGAGTCGCGCTGGAACGTCTCCGTCTTCCCAATGATGGTGAAGTTGACGCTGCACGGTGTACAGAAGCTGTAGATGGGCGCCCAGTGCTCGTCGAAACGCTTGCCCGCCCCGTGCTCGGCAATGAGGAAGCGCACAAACTCCTCGAAGGTGGGTCCGCAGCGGGGCCAGGGCCCGCCCTGGCTGTGATTTCGGAAACGGTGGACAATCTTCGTGCCCAAGGCCTTGTAAAAGGTGTTCCGATTGCCCTCCAGCTTGTTGCGGTACGCGCTCAGTATCCGCTCGAAGGGATCGCGCACAAACAGGAAGGACAGTGCACTGGGCAATAGTTCCATGAGCTCGGCCAGCTCCGGTCGGGGGAAACGCTTCCGCGCCAGCTCCAGTGGCTGAGTCTCTGTCCTCTGCAGATACTTCACATCGTAGCCAGCTGGAACAAAAGGGATAAAGGGACAGTCGAGCATCAAAATTCCGCCTCATGTGCACGCAATGTATGTTGTTTTATCAATCAATCAATCAAAACACCTAGTGATAATTACCTAATACGTTGAAGTAATACATCCACGTACTGCTGGCCGCCTTGAAGACATTGCACCTGAAATGGGCAGAGAATTTAGAAGGTCTTTCAAGATCGCCAAGGAGGCAGATCAAACACAAACCAGACGAGATTGTTGTGGCCCGGCGATACAAAGAACTCCCAGGGATTCGGTGGGTACTTTTCCTGCAGCTTGTAGCGCTCGCAGACGGCGGCCAGGTGTTCGCGCCTCCTCTGCAGCTCCCGCTCGGTGCTGCTGTGCAGCTCCTCGGAGTACTCGTAGACGGGATTCAGGGTGCTGGCCGGTGGCAGTGGAGCTGCAACGGCGGTAGCCGAGCTCCCAGTGGCATTCGTTCCAGTGGTGCCTGCCTGGGCCGCCTGCAGCTGCGCCAGCAGTCGTTGGCGCTGCATCTGCTGGCGCTTGAGCTTGAGCTGCTGCTTGGAGGGCTCCGCTGCGTCCGCCTCCAGTTCGGCGGCCGTGGCCCGCTCCCGGTGCTCGTAGGCATTGAGCGACTCGCGGTAGAGGAAGGCAAAGTAGCAGACGCCCACCAGGACACAGGCACCTATCTTCAGATAGGTCTGCAGACGTCTCCCATAGCGTAGGCGAATGATCATTTTATGAATGCAGAACGCCGCCCTGCAGCGGCCACTGCATGTTCCACGGAATACTGGGGATGTCTGTGAAGGCGGCATCAAAAGGAAAAATACTTAGTTAGGGTACTTTAACGAGTAAAGGCTTAAAGGAATTAAAGTAATAAGATTCTTACAATTCTTACAAGCAATTGAGATTATACTATTTTTAAGAATCAACAGATGAATCGATATGCCATATCCGTCTATATTTCTATGCAACGCGTAGTCAAAAAAAAAGAAAAAACCTCAAAGTAAGGAATTACCTGTCCTGTAATCCAGCTCAAAAAATCTCTGTTGTTATATCGTTCATTAATTCGTGAATATTGGGGCATTTGGCTCTTTAGAGGCGTGCGATTTCGGAATTATCTTTGGTGGTACTTTCAATGCCAATTATAGCAATATTATTTTTGGAATTTAAAGACAAGCCAACTCAAATTGAACTGAAATCGGAATATATGTTAAATATACAACTGCAATGCTGGGAACGATGGCTGTTGCAAGGGTATTAAAAGCTTCAGCCAGCCCCCAAGCCACCTTTCTTTTTCTGTTCCTCTTTCGCTCTTGTTCCTTTCCTTCTTTTTTTTTTGGCGCTTTCACCAGGCGACACTTGTTGGTGTGTACACACCAAAATTTTGGTGTATTAATACAAAAATAATACAAATGTATTAATACATAAATATGTACGTATGTAATTACTTGAAACTACGTCATACCCCTCCACACACACACACACACACACACACACACAGATGGAGCAGCCCGCACGCACACGCATGGCCGTGGAGAGAGTACAGGGCGCTGCTGGCAGCAGCAACACTCCAAAAGTAGGACGTCATCCTTAAACGTCAACATTTGCTTTTCTATCTGCTGTTCTCTTTTTTTTTTTAGTTTTTTATTGTTGTTTTTGCAGCTGTTTTTCCTTGCGTTTTTATTGCTGCCAGTGCTTTTTTGTTGGTTCTTTTAATAGTGCCATTTGTTGGCAGGACTGGGATTTGGACACGAGCGACTTAAAGTATTCATAACACCTCAGAGACTATTTGAGAGCAGTTATAGCTGTGGCACAATGGTAGACCATGGATGGCATGGCTAGTAGTTGCCACATATGTCCATATATATTCACATAGATTTGCACCTCAAGAATTGTATACATTCACTCTATTAAGGATATATATCCTTTGGTTTACTCACTCTGAAGCGCGGCAGGCGTTTTAGTTTTAGTTTTTCTTTTATTTCTGGAGCCTCCCTGTGTATACAGCACTGAATGCGCCTATCCTTTGGCTGCCAGCCCTGCCTCTTGGTGGTGCCCTCTCCCCACCACCTGGTCGCGGCGCTGTTACGTGTTGCGTTTTCCTGGGTCTCTCCTGCCTGCTCCGCTTTGCCGTGCTGCTCACTGCGGCCCTCGCTCTCAACTGCCAGCCCGTGGCAGGCCGCAGCTGCTGCTGCTGGTCGCTGCTGTTCATCCTTTTCGTCCCGTGAAGCCGACAATCTATGCTATGCGCCGGCGCCGTGAGAAAGGATGCGAGACAGCTTTTTTTTTGACAACAAAGTGTTGAGAGTTTGCCGCTAGGCCGCTAGATTCCCAGCAGGTTTCAGTCGGTCTTCTTGAGAATTTCACAAAGATTTTTCACTTGGGAGCATGATCTTTTATGGGTCCTTATGTTGCGTGGTATAAGGTGATGCTGGTGATGAGGAGTTATTCATTCTATTATTCTTCTATAAATGTTGGAAATTTATATTCCTAGAAAGGTATATTTCGGTTCCCGAAAAGTTTTATGTATTCCCAATAACGACATGATTTCAAAACTATTCAAAAGAAATTACTTTTGTATTCCATTGAATGATTCCTGAAATTCCTCAAATACCCAAAAAAAAAGACCGGTTGTTGTTTTTTTTTTATTTTCTGTGTATATTAAATCTTTGTATTTTTTCTTTTTCTATAAATATTTTACTTTAAAGTACAAACAAATTAATAATAAACTTCTAATACTACGGTTTTAAGACACTTTCGTTTTTGTTGTTGTTGTTGTTGTTCATCTTGTGGTTGTTTTATACTTTTTGCATTTGCTTTTAAATATATATATATATTTTTTATTTGTTTATGTGTGTGGGTGTGGTTGTGTGTGTACTGGTATATAAATTATTTATACGTTTTATACAACTTCCATTAACATTTTTTTGCTGCTGTGCTTAGCGGGGCTTATTTGCAGTTTTGCTTGGGCGGGGATGCTGTCTTCAGAAAATATCTAAATAATGTTCACTAAATATGCTTCTTCAGGTTCCTTTCCTCTGCTTTTATTACGGAGCTCGGGATGCTTCTGGGGGGAGGGGCGGGGGCCTGTGGCTGGTATGCTGTTATGAATTCTCCTTCTATATATATGTGTGTGTGTGTGTGTGTTTTTCTGTTTGTTTATCGGTACTATATGTATCTATGCTAAGGATTGGGCTTTTCATACGCTTATTTTTTGTTTCGTTTTTGCCTTGCTTTAAAGTAAAACATGTACAAAGTATCAAAAGAACTATTTTATATAGCAATCATACAATATATATATATATATAAGATAATAATAATATTGAACAGTATATATATGCGTGTGAAGAAATATATATATATATATAATTGTTGCTTTGTGTCTAGCGCTTTTTGCATTTGCTTCATTTACTTTACTGAGTTGTTTTTATTTATTTTTTGTTTGTTTTCGTTTTTGTGTGTGTTTCCCTATTTGTTCAAATAACATTTAGCAAAAATAGAGCCTGCCTTATATACAATACAACTTTATATTTTTTGTGTCGTCTCGTTTGCTATTCACGTTTTATGCAAAATATATAACATTATATACGGTACGATTTCTGTATATATATATATATATATATATATATTTTCATTCACTTTTGCAAAACGACAAATACTAGTTTTCCCATAATTTTCATTTTGCTTTTCCGCTTTTTTTCTTGTTCATGTTCGTGTACTTTTTTTGTTGTTTTTTTTTGTCTGTTTTTTGTGTGTTTTTTTCATTAATTTTTTTGTGGTGCTTGGCCTTTTTACATTTTTGACTAACTTACTGCATAGGGGCTTTCGGTTCCATGTGCATATATTGGGGGTTGCTTGGTTGGTTGGTAAAGAAATATCGTAATTATTACTGTCCTTAGGCGCTAGAGCATTTAAAACTAAAAAACAAATTTTCGAAACAACGCAAGCTTACAGAAACTATATATATATATATATGTATAGATAGGCTATATCTGATCTGTATTCTGCTTCTGCAACTGCATCTCTCTCTATGCATAATCGTATGTTAATTGTTAGAAAAATTAGAAAACCTAATGCAAAACCTCTGCTCTTTCCCAGCAGCAGTGCGTAAATGTAAGGACAACCTAAAAGCTAGAAATGTGTTCATGTTGCATCAAGAATAACTAAAATACAAAATATATATAGATATGTACAAACGGATTCGGATACGGTTAAATGGAAATCAAAACTATGCATAGGGGCTGGCTGGTGGGGTTGTGAAGAGTAGATGAAGCTTCCGTTCTGCCAACTACTTTTTTGCCTAGTGTTACTTATATGTGTGCTACGTGTTGTTGAGTTTAATGTGGGGGTGTATGTGAGTGTGTTGGAGTTGGAGCTCCCCCAAGTGTATGTAAAGTATATATTCAACTAATTTGTTCAAAATTTCCTCTCTTCGGAGATAGAGCTATACATAAATTGCCTGTTTTCACGTTGACTAGCAAATCATTTCATTTCCAATGGGTGGATCGTGGTTCTGGGGGTTAAATAGTGCTAGATGATGGGAATAGCGTTAAGCTCGGGTCTTGAAAGTAGTTGATCGTAAGGGAGACAAACAGAAAAAGTGAAAAGCAGAAAAACATATATACGTTACGCTCGGCTTATGCATCTTTTCTGTCTGTTTTAACTTCGATTTGGATGTTGGGTGTTGGGTGTGTGTGTGTGTGATGTTGCTCGCTATGAGATGCAACATTATTGCAACTTGTGGCTACCACTAACTATACAAAAAACTATATTCTTCAACGAAAATTACGACTATAAATTACAAACGAAAGCGTTCAGTATCAGTGCGTGTGTCTGTGTGTTTCTGTGTGATATATACAGGTAGCAGTGGATTTGACGGATTTGTGGCACAGTGGCGGCCCACTATGCCAGTTGCGGCGAACTGCTACTGACGGACCGCTGCTCATCGGCCGTCGTTTCGCTGACAAACTCCTGGAAACTCAGGCCCAGATCGTTATTGAGTTGCACAATATTGAGCACATCGCTGGCATCGCGCCATTGCTGATGCTTGCTGGCTATGCCGCCACCATTGCCATTGCCACCGACAACACCGCCGCCGCCGCCGACGCCACCACCACCACCGCCGCTATCATCATCCTCCTCGCTGAGTATGTTGTTCAGACACAGATTGAACTCATCGTAATCGACAAAGTTGCCACAATCGAGATCCGTGGCACTGTCGAGCTCTGGCATCAGCAAACTAACTGCATCGTTATCCACGTCCATGTCGACCTCCACATCCGCGGCACTGCTGCTGCTGTGGTAGGACAGTAGGTGATCAGCCTCTTCCATGTAGCCGCCGCCGCCGCCGCCGCCGGCTGCTCTCGCCAAATTATCATACTCATTGGCTTCATCGCCACCATCGTCTTGCGCCTGGGCTAAAGGGAAGCTGCTGATGTCAAGCTGCTCATCGGCGGTTCCCAGCTCGAACAGCTCCATCAGATCGTCATCTTGTGGATCGCTCGGATGGTTCAAGCCTTTAGCCAAGGCGCAAAACTCTGGTCACTTGTAGTCACGCGATGTTCTTCTCCGGCGTCCCTCGGTCAGCATGGACTCGCCAATGACTGCGAAAAATCAGGAAAGAAAGGAACATGTAAATGCTTGCTTCCATGAAGGGACTCCAATGGACACTCACCTGCACTGCGTGTCTTTCGCCTGGCCTCCGCCACGCTCTCCACAGTGGCCGCACTGGCATTGTTGGCATTCCCCACGGCCGTCTTTATCGGTGTGCCCTTCGGTTCGGCTGCAGCGGCGGCTGCAGCAGCAGCTGCGGCAGCATTGCTGCGACTATATATGATCTTGTTGGCAGCTGCGCTGGCCCTCACGCTCCTGCGAGTACCAATCTTTTCGTCCGTGGGCGAACTGGCAGAACCCCCGCCGGCTGCTGCAGCTGTGGCGCCACGTGTAGCATGTACCACATTTGTGTTGCTGTTGTTTTGGCTGCTGCTGGTGGCCAGAACAGCTCCACCAGGCGATGATGCTGCTGCAGTTGCTACTGCTGCTGCTGCGGCTGCTCCTGCCACTGATATGGGAACACTGGGGCTGTTCGAATTGCTGCTGCCGCTGGCATTGTGATTGCTGCTGGCAGGGGAACTTGCCGTTTGAGCCTTACCACTTCTTGGTGCGCCCAGCGGGGGCGTGCCACTAAATGAGCTGTTGCTAGCGGGTTCTGTGGGGGAGATTGTGTTGTGGTATTCGCTCTGTTTTTAATAATTAAAAGTGTACTTACTGTGCGGCGGTTGTTGCTGCTGCTGAGCGTTGCGTCGCGTAACGTGCTTCTCTACGGCTGCCGCTGCTGCTGCTGCTGCATCTGCCTCCACTTGCGCCTTGGAGTTGCGTACCTTGCCGGCCACCTCAATCAGCGGCTCATCCGAATCGGATGACTCGATCTCAATCTTTTTGGGCAGTGCTGGAGTTCCGGTGGCTTGATCAACCGCTAATTCGGCCGCATTTGTGGCTACTCCCGCCACACCTCCGCCAAGGCTCACACGAGCACGCTTGCTGCTATTTTCGGTAACATCGGCGGCATCATTGCTGCTGCCACACTCGGACTCCGGCCGGCGGCGCTTGCTATTATTGTTGTTGTTGTTGTTGTGGACTGGCGTAGGCGTGAGGACGCGTGGACTGGCATTGGAGGAGGATCGCGATAGGTTCTTTGCCGTGGCAGGCACTGGTATGGGTGTTGCTGCCGCCTCGGGACTGGTCTTTTGGGCAGCATCCAACGGACTCTCCAGGCGACTGCTGGCCCGTGTCCTTATCCTCGGCGTCTCGCCGTCCGTCTGTGCTGGTATCTCTATTGAAATGGGCTGCAGAGAAGCCCCACCCGCGGCATTGATCTCAGCGTGAGCCTTCTCCTCCAGCTTAGGCTCCGCTTTAGGCTCCAGCTTGGGCTCTACTTTTAGCTCCAGCTTGGGCTCCACTTTCAACTCCAGCTTCGCCTCTGCCGCCATCTTGGGCTGGTCCACTTTCACCAATTCCGTCTTGGGCGTTTGAGCTCCGGCTGGCTCTTTTTTAATGGACAACAGTGGCGGCACCTCCTCCAGCTTCAACTTCGCCTTGGTCTCAGCTGCAGCCGGCGCTGGTGTCGTCTTGCTGTCTGTGAGCT